GCGAATATATGTTAGATTAACTATTATTCTATAGTTTAATGTATTTTTTTTAAACATATTGTGAAAGTTCATAGTTCCACGTAAAAGAATAAAATAATTATCTTTTTTGTCTATTTATGTGAGTTTTTAATTTGATTTATGATATGATTTTCTTCTCTCTCTCTCTCTCTCTCTCTCTCTCTATATATATATATATATATATATATATATATATATATATATATTGAATATGCGTTTTTAAAGAAATTTATTATATTTTGCAGTATCATTTTAATTATTTTTTTCTTTTCCTTGAGTAAAATTTAGGTTTAAGCACATACATGTTTAAGAAAATTGTAAATAGTTGATATAGAAAAAAACAAATATATTTTAAATATATTCAAACTTTCAGATTCGAGAATGAAGGTGGTAACGAAGATGTTGAGCAATATGATGATTATAATTATAAGGAGCCTCTAAATAAAAATAACGATCTTCATATTGAAGAGGGAGAGGATGAACGCGAAGGTATGAACATTGTTTTATGCAAGTTTTATGATTTGCTTTATCAAAAATGATTGTTTTAGATGAAGATGATTATATGCATAATAACATGAATGCAGTGAAACATGAATAAATCGTTTAAATGCAAAGGTAATATAGTATAAATTTATGACATAAAAAATTTTTTATTTATATTACATCTATTATATTGTAATTGAATAACTAGAATTTCAAACTCTAATTATTTTTAATTCATTAAAAACTTTTAAGATATTTTTAATTGCGAAAACAAAAATAATAAATCACTTAGTTTTTGTCATTTATGTATGAAATTTCTTGTAAAGCATTAATTTATTACAGGAAATATTTATATTCATAACTAAGAAAAATACAAATTTTTAGTTATTAATTTTATAATTCTTTTAAAAAATATGTGTAAATTAGTAGATTCATGTAGATTAATTTAAAAAGCCTAATTTTAATAACTTTCAATTTATTGTATATATATTAATTTGTATATATAGTTAAATTTGTTTTTCAGAATTTCGAGATGGAAAGACTGTGCTTGAAAATTTAAAGTATAACTGTAAAAAGCAAAAAGACCTTCAGTTAAAAATACAATATTTTAATTATGAATGACTTTATTTACTCTCTAATATAAATCAAATATAAAGTCTAATGAAATATGAAATATGAATAATTCAAATATAAAATTAAAACGGAGGAAAAAATTTTTAGATCATGTAAAATTTAAAATGCAAATAACAGAAGAAAGAATATAGTAAATTATTTTTCTAGCATACACTATATAAATACTTTATAATAATAAGCTATATGGAATCGAAAATTACGTTCGAGTTTCTTAAACACTTGATATACTTAAATAAGTTCCAGAATTTTTTCAGAAACCTTATGTGCAGTTGTTGATCGTGAATAATTAAAGAACTGAATACTGTAAAAGGCGTTGTGAATATTGGACGAGTATAAAATATGAAGTGATCGGTGATATTCGTCTGTCATTTTTATAACGTATAAACAGCCTACATTTTAACAGACAAGATACTGTACTTTGTATTTATATTAATGTTTATATTAAATTTAAGTTTATATAATTTCCAAAAATATTACTTCTGAACTTTAAATGTTTGAATTTTTGAACTTTTTAAAAAATATTTTATTGAATTCAATGCACAAGCTAAACATTAATATTTTACTAAATTTGATTAAAGAAAATATATTGATTTATATTATTATAATAAGTTTTACAATATATTTATATAAAAATAATTTTTCTTAATATTGTTTTTGGCTGTGGGAAAATTAGTCATATTATTAAAAATATTTGTACTTATTGCCTTAGATTCTACATTTTCATTTGATTGAAACAAGAATAATATTAACCAACAGATCTCAAGACAATTTTGTATGATAAATGTAATATATTATAACAAATTCCTTTTTAATATCTAAATTCAATTAAAATTTTTATAAAAGTAATGAGACCTGTTCATTGCACACATAAGCTTTCTATTGTTTTATTATTGTATTATCTAATATAATTTATGAGCTAATCAAAAGACATACATTGAGTAGAAATTTTATAATTGTAATAAAAATTTGAAATACAGTAGATTTATAACAAATTAAGTGTGATATTTGTTACATCGATTGACTATATGGATCTATAATACAATTATCTTTGACATAAAAATGTACATACAACTTGCTATTCTAAAAATGATTAATTATTTTTATTTTATCACAAAGGTTGCATTTTTGTATGTTATAATATGTATAAAATACTTGAATTTTTTTCAGACTAGAATTTAAATGAAATATTCAAATTACTTTAAATTATTAATTCAGAATTGTTGTTATCCAACCTGAATTAATGTAAGTCAGCTTTGATTTTACAATACATTTAATTTTTATTAAATAAAACAATAAAAATTACATATTATTTTAATATAGAGAAAAAGATTACAAAATGTATTCATGCTTATTAGATTTAATATAGAGAAAAAGAATACAAAATATATTAATTAATATTGATAAATAATTGCTTTTTTGTTTCTTGATGTATGTATTTTAAATGATAGTTTTAAAAAATAGAGTACATTATATATTGCTTCTTACATGTATAAGTTATAAATACATATTCTTTGTACTGTGTAAATTCATTAATTATTAAAAACAATTTGATAATATATATTACAAATAATATCAAAGTTTATTTTATTAGAATTTTAATGAATCATTATTCAATAGCATATATAATAGGCTAATGATATAAATAATTGCAAAATGTTGTAATATTGTATATAAAATTCCTAATGACTAAATGAAATATATGCTTGATAAGTAAATAAATTTTTAAAAAATTATTTTGGTTGTTAATATCTATTAAAATATTGAATGGTCATGATGTATTTTTTCAAACTTTAAACATTTAATATCAAGTAGATTTTATTGAAAATTATATTTATTTATAATTATTATTCCAACTCTAATTTATATTGTATTATTTCGACTATTATATTAATAGTATATAAATTACAAATATTTTTTATTGAAATAAATAATTAAAATATTTTTTAATGTTTAAGGATAAATAATGTTAAAATAATAGGAAATTTTTTAGTTGTATATATAAACAACCACCTGTATGTACATTTCGAAAAATTCATAAACATAATAGTTTTTATATACTTTTTTGTATAGATCATAATTAAATTATTTTTACATACTGTTATTTAAAAATAAATATGTTGGTTGAGTTCATTAAAAGTATAGTCACTTTTTTTTATTTATTGTATATTTTTTCTTGAATTAATTAATCCCTAAGTCAACATCGCCTTACTTAATCTTATGTAGAGTTAGTATTAATACTGTTGTTTATAATATTGTATAAGTATAATTAGTTCATAACAAGTTACAACAAGAATTTCTGTATAATTTTTCTCTTAATTGCTACCAAAGCATTGTACCTAAAATATTGGTACATGTAACTGTTGGATTTAGGGATTAAAATTCTATTTTCTTTGCATCAACACGTCCTTTGCGTATATCCAACGATTTTCTAATGATTCTTGTAATAAATAATATTACTGATTAGTCATTCTTCCATAAATTATTGTATTTTTTGTTATTGTAAATTAGTTTTATTTTCCTATACTTTTATATCATGTAGACTATAATGATCGAAAACCATTATTTTTATGTACCATCATTTCATATTGTAAGAAATAAATATTTATATCTAAATCATATTTAACTAAATTTTAAATGTAGTTTCAGTTTTTATTGAAATATTTATATATATTGAAATTGTAATAATTATTAATTATATGAATAATTAAAATCTAATTATTAATAATTAAAAAATTAGTGTGTTGTTTCATAAAAAAAAATAAAATATTTATTAAATTTAAAAATAAAATAAAATTTAAATTATTTGTTTAACTTATTTATTTAAAAATACCTTTTACTTATTTACATGAATTTATTATTTATATATTATGATTATTACATATTGAAATTCTAATAAAATAAAATAATTAAATATTTTAGAAAATTTCTTAGATCAATCACTTTTTAAATTGATACTAAGTTGAAAGAGAGTACTTAATTTTACAACACTTTTTCTAGTTTACCTTGTATAAGCATAAACCTTTTTGTCGAATACGTTAAGATGACAATTTTTATTGTAAATATTTCTTAAACTTAAAGTTCTACTGATTGGATGTAGCAATGACAGGAGTTTATATAATTTTATACGCCCTAATAATATTTTTATGTTTCATCGGAAGTATGAAACAAAATTTTATTTTATAATTTCTCTATGAAATTCAATCCGAACTTTGGGCCTTTCTAATTTGTGCGTTTGTGTATCCAAATACATAAGTGTTAACTTTTTTTTAGTTGTTTCAGATGAAGTGATTCAGACGTTTTTGTAAGCGCGAGTTAGCAATCGTTTTGTTTGATTTGATCAACATCCATAAGTAAGCCCACAAAAATATACTGTATAAATAAATGTATATTTTACAGAAACATTTATAATACATACTATTTTAGTTGTATAATATATGAGGGATTTTCGCATTAGGTTCTAAAGATTTTCAAATAATGAAACTTGATCTTATTAACGGATATTTTTCTAATTTGAATTTCATTAACCTTTACAATAGTTTTTATTCCTTATTTATCGGATTTAGTGCGAAAATGGCCGGGCCGTAAAAGTTGCAGGTTTCTGAAAAAAGTATTAGGAAAAGCAAAGGAAGTATATAAGAATTATATATAAGAATATAATCTAGATTTGCTTTAAAAAATAACTGGTTCGTGGCTCTTGTGAAGCGCCATTAGTGACGATGCGGCCAGACGTGACAAACCTAATGGAGACGCTTCTAGACTGTCGAGAACGTTGGAGGTTATTGTACGCGACCCAGCTTGTGCTCAGTTGGTTCAATTCGCCAGTGTTGTTTGGAGGTGTTTAGGAGTCGGTGAGTAGCAGAACGAAAATGGGCCGTCTGGGTTTCAATCTTGTACGTCATAAGGATCCGATCAAGACTGTCGAAGACGGACCTCCTTCTACTCAACAAAATGAAAAGAACGAAAGCGCGGAACTCAACGAGCTCGTGATTGCCGTCGGCAACGAGCGAAGGAGGTACAGGAAAAACGTGAGTAATGACCCATGAGAATGGATGCCAACTGCAGTTTATGACTTTTAGGCGCGGACAGTTATTTATTAGAAGCAGTCCATTGACGGCTGATAGACCAGTGCATAAGTGCTCGATATTTGAGATTCTCATGCCACATTTGCTCTGTAACGATAAAGCGCGTGATCGCTCATTTCGTTGTCCATGCGTTTTGAAGTACGCATTTAAAATGATAATTGAAGTTATACAAGTGATCAATATCCTAATAAAATTAAACAGATGTTTAACTATATTTCATTATGCACAGTCGAGTCCAGACTTTCCAGATTCTCAATCTCAAAATTTGACGCACGCCCTAGCTATTTTTTTCAAACTTATATGCTAGAATAATATTCATTAACAATGTCAATTTTTCTCTCTTCAGTTACCTGGACTTATAGTTTTTATAACTATGATTATATTTTACTCTGCTTATATAGCTATAAGGCTGAGACCATTCCAGCAAGGTTCAGCATGTAAATTAAAGTCTACTCTTCGACATGAGCTTCTTAAGTCTATTAACAATTTAATTATTCATATACTTAAAACCATGTATTTAGAATATTCATTTTTAACAGATATCCTTTCTAATTTTCAGTTGACTCAAATACAAATGATTCGAAATTAACAGACCTTCCACAAATGCAATTATTACAAGACCAAAAAGATGGTAAATATTTTTGTGTAATATATTATTTTTATATTAAATATATACAATATACTGTAATTATAATAATACAATTTAGCTTTTACCTTTTTTCAATAAACCTTTATTTGATGATTTTTATATAATGTATATAAATAAATTAGTGTTTTTATGTATCAAAGATAAATATATTAGATATATTATTATTTACAAAAATTCAACTTCAAAAAAAAAAAAAATATTTTTAAATATCAAAAGTAACCAATTAAAGACAATATCAATCAATCAATTTTGTTTGCTCGGTATGAAGTGCAGATTGAACGAATACTTCAATGAATAATTATGCAAATCTTTTGGATTTATTGTCTATCTAGTTACAAAGCTTAACTGGAAACAAAACCAAAACATTAATTTTAATGGAGCATATCAATTTGTTATAGTATTAAACAATCTATTTACCAAAATAATTTAAAAATAAATTAGAATATTTTCATATTACTTTTTAAAGAATCACACTTACAATTATGGCAGTAATATAAACATTAAAAACTACATATATATAGATATAGCAATAATAATGCAAATACATGAAAAGTTTTTATAATCTGATTTCAACACATACTGAATTGTCAGTTATAAATAATATTAACTTTTAAATAGATTTTTGCTTTATATAAATACATGTAATCAATAATTATTTTGATCTCCAATATTAACTAAATTGTTAGATGAAATTTATAACAACTAAATTTTTATAATTTTTTACTTTTATTATACTTTATTTATTACTTACTATATTATTATTAAATGTATTACTAAGCTAAATTATTAAGACAAAATTTAAATAGAATAACATTAAAATATTATATTTAAGTGAGTAGTTTTATAAAAAAAAATTTTCAATTAAACGATCAATATTTTTTGTCATTAATGAACATTGAAAAATTAGCAGTATTTATAATTATAATTTAATATGATTATAAAGCAAAACAGTTTATTAAAATTAAGAATTAATCATGCAAAATATTTATATTAAAAAATAAAGATTTTAGTTTTTAGTTACTTAAATATTATTCTTCAAAAAGAATTATTTCTATAATACATTAAATATTTTTAATAGATTATTATTTATTCAAAGTTAAAAAATATTAGTGTTTTCAAAATTGAATTTAAATTTGTTAATATGGAATTTAAAATCATTGTTATTTGTAGAAATGAATACATCTGAAATTTATAAAAGAATTTTAAAAATCCATTTCAAATAAATTAAGTATTTTGATTGTTAATTGTATAATGTTGGAAATAGATAAAGCTGGAGGGAGGAGGGCAAATTTGAAGGACTCTTTAATAGGAGGCAATTATTGTAAATTTCTTAATGCGTAATTATTTATGGATTTTTAGAAACAACTAAATGTTGGCAGCAACTAAGCGAATATGTTGCACTAGTAAAATGGCATGATGATCTAAAACATGAAATAGCATGGCAAGTGAGTGATGGGAAAAATGAAACTGAACAGTTGACTGCAACTAATGAGCACTTGCAAGCTCTAAGAGCACGCTACATGTCACTAGAAACCGAGTCGCAAAGGAACGAGAAAATACTCCGGGCGGAACTGAAAAAATTACGCGAGGATCGTGAAGAACTGCGAAAGAAGGTTGCAAAAGGCGAAGAAATGGTGATGAAGTTGACGAACAGTGAGCTTGAATCGAGCCATGAAACAACCACCAAGCCTACTCTCAGTCTCTTTAATTCCGCTCCCTTCAAAAAAATGAATGACATTGTCAAACGTATCGAAACTGTAGGTCGAATTTTCGGCAACGTGATTAAAGATGGGATTTAACCTCTCACTCTTTATTTTTATAGTCGGCGATTCAACATATACACAGAAAACGTCTTATACTATATTGTGTATACAAGCTTATCCCTTAAATCTGAATAATGATATAATAAAACGCAAGTGATGTATTTCGATTTATTAAATATTCATTTTGCCATTCGAGTTACAGGAGAAGGAAACAATTCATATAATTCGCAATTTTCATAAATAAAATTTCAAAGCTAACCTCCTGATTCTATATTTTTGTGAATAAAAAGCTTTGTATAAATTTTATTATTTCCTCATTCGTTACTTTAATTCTTTGTTTTATATGGTATTTTTGAACCATTAATTTGAATTGTTAATCCATTGAGTTTGAGCTAAAGATTCAATTTTAATGAATATAAAACATTAAAGGGACTTGTCAATAACAGGACAGTAATTCGGTAACATTAGTACATTGGTTATTCAATTTAAATGTTTATCTATATAAGTGCTTTATATATCGATAGATATATCAAATATTCAAAAAAGCATAATTGAATAGAATAATGTTCCAGATAATTCAAAACATATCAATTCATAGACGTCTCTATTTTTGATATTTTAAAATACATATTTTTAACACAAAAGAAATGTTTTTTGAATGTACAATAATTAATAGTAAAATATATCTGTGTAACTTTTTATACAAATTATCCCTTTTAAACAATTACAGATATATCAAAAGAATGAGCTTCAAGTGTAAATTAAAAATCTATATAACATACAAAGTATGTTTAAAATATCTTTTCATGGATTACGCTCTTACACTCAATATATTGAATTTACACACACACACACACACACACACAAAACAAACACACATTCTATATAGATACAATTTTTTTAATTATTAAAGCAATATGTATAATAAAATTAACGTAAAATTCACATGAAAAAGAAAATTTTATTTAACAATTAATTTAGTTAGCAGATAGATGCATTTTTTATTTATGTTTTTATTAAATATTCGTACTTTGCAATTAATTATATATTTTTAATTGCTTTAATATTAAGAACATAATTGTATTTTTAAATAAATCTTGTTTAAACATTGTATAAACAAGCAAAATTGTAAAATTATTTTCAAAATTATTTTTTATAGTAAGCAAATATAAATATCTTTTAAGTTTTAAAATAAAAAGAATTACTTGAGTTAACTTTTAAACATTTAATATTTTCTGTTCTATTTTTTCTAATTAAATAAAAAATGCAATTTTAAAAGAAAAATAATTAAACAATCTTTTATTGCTTCAATGCCAAATGACATTGAAATAGTGGAATCATAATTAAATTAATATTATATACCTTATTCATTAGTTCATATATGGTTAATATTTTAATATTTCTAAATTGATTTGATAAATTAAGTGGCCTAAAATATAACGTATTAAATAATTTGCAGCTAAAAAATAATTTATGTAATATAAACATATAGTATTAAAAATCCCAGTTTTTTGTTTTTTTACAATCAATATTTTTTCAGGATGCAGCAATTTTTGAAATAGAAGAATTAAAAAAAAATACAACGAAATTGTAGATCAGCAACGAAGAAACAGTAGACCGAAATAAAAAATTTATGGATTTTAATATATACAACTTTTTTGACTAACTATTACTAATAAATCGAAAGATTACAAGAACGTTTTTAATTTATACATCTTATATTTTATAAATTTGTTAAATGTATATAATTATTAAATATAATCATAGTACGAGTCTACTATGATTATTAACTATTAAGTATAAATTAAATTAATAATGTTTATATTTCTATAACATGTAATAAATATGTTAGTAATAATAATAGCTTGCTTTTAACCTTGTAAATCATGATTTTTCATATTAATTTCTGGGTATATTTCTCTAGTGATGCAAATATAAAGATAAATATTTTACATAATATTCGATTTTTAATATATTATATTTCATATAATATTAGGATTTAGAAATATTCCTGATTAAACATAAATTAAGTAAAATAATAAAAATAAAAAATATTTATTCAGTTATCTAAATTTTGTAAGTTTATCTGTAATATATTCGTAAGTAAAAATATTATATTGATTATTTTACAAAACATTGCAATGTACTTAAATATATATTTAAAACTATATTTAAAACATTTAGCATTCCACACAATAGATACATTGTTTAAAAATTTAATATACGATTAATTATGACTACTTAATTATTTATAATCTGTCAAAAAATATTTTTCAATTTATGAAATTCTACATACTAGTTTGTATTACAATTATAACAAATTCGGAGACATGTTTTTTTTTGTGTAAATGCATTTGTTTAAAGGAAGTCTTTTTATTAAATGATAATTATATAATTTATAAATTTGATATCAATTTTGTATGAGACGAAATGTTATGCATAACATAAATTTGTAGAATATAATTAAATTGACCGATAAATTTCTGAATAATTTATTATAACATAATAAATTAGATGTAAATAGAGTAGGGCAAAGGTATGCAGCAAAAATTCGATGTTATTATTTATTGTATAAGTGTAAAATTTTAATATTAAAAGTTATGATTATATATAATCAATCCATAGGATAAGAAATTGAGAGAGTAGCAATAGTATTGAATTTGAAACACATCTAAATGAGTTTTATTCATTTTATTTATGAATATATAAATATATAAATGTTTATTGCTATTACTATTTTGTAAATTTTTGTTGCACATTTAGAATTAAAGATCTTATATACATTTACACATATTTTTCTTTTTTATTTGTCTCATTATTTCTATTATGTATTATCTTTCTATACTCTATTGCTATTACTTATAATCTCCTTTTTCTTTTATTATTTTATATAAGCTAGTATAATTTTTTTATATGTATTAAATAGCTTCGAAAAGTAATTAATGAAATTCAAATCCCAACACTTTATACTTTACATTATACATTTTGTATAAATTTTGTATTAAATATTGTATAATAATGAATCTCAATATACGGAAGTAAAGCTGGTACAATAAATGAATATATATTATGTATATTATAATATATATAATATATTATATATATTATGAATATATATATTATATAAATATTGTAAAATTGACCTTGCGCTTTCATTGCGATGGGCTTATACAATTGTTTGCTAGAGTTACAATACACTTGTGATACACCTAACTTTGGTATTCTAATCCTTTTATCACTCTGACTTTTAGTCACTTATAATGTTCAAGTCGGTTCACCCTCATTAAAAGATGTCGCATAGTCTTAATAAATTGAAACTAAATGCCTATTACGAATCACTCCCGTTCATGATAATGATTTTTATATAAATATTCGTCTACTGTATTTATTTATATTTGAATTTTTACTAAATAAATGTTTATCTTTATACACATTCCAAACGTTATCTTTTATCAGTAAAATTATGAATTTATTTGAATGAATTATTATGAATTTAATAGTACGATATGAACAACTAATTAAATTCTCTTTTTGTTTTTGTTTATCCTTGGTTCTTTTGTTGTATTGATGCATAAAATTCATATATGTTATATTATGAGTAAGTATTGTATACGTTATTTAAAATCTAATTGTTCAGAGCAATATATAGGGGTTTTCTTATTTTCTTCTTCCCTTACCAATCACTTATCGACTAAATTATTAAAAAAAAAACATTTAAATAAAATTTTTCTTCTAATCAACTCTCAATTAGTGAAACATGATTTAAATTAGATTTATTATTTTCAATACACATAAAATATTAAAAAATATTAGAACACATAAAACATTAAAAGACATAAAATGCTGCATTATAATAGCTTCTATTATTATTTATCTAAAATTCTAATTAACTATATAAAAAAACTCATTTACATGTTATTGTATATTAAACAAAGAACGACTTATTTTATTATAAATTAATTTTTAGATGCATCTAATCATAATTCATCCCAGGATTTATCGAAGAAATAGTGCTGATGAAGCAGATAAATGCTTTTAATATTGTTTACCAATTGAATCATTTATTTTATTTTATAATGTTCCTAAAAAAATATAGAAAATGACAAAATATACATTGTTTACTAACTGTTAAGAATCGTTTTAATGTAATATAGAATTTTTTAAAATACTCGAATTTTAAAGTTTTAAGAAACATGTGAAATATCAAATTTAAAAAATTCTTTTATTAATCAATTTAATTTTAATTAAAAATACAAATTAGAATTTTAAAATAAATATAAATTGAAAAGCATGTTAGTATATGCAAAATAATACAATTCATTACATAGGCATCAATACAACTTAATTTATCACACGGTATTAATATCAATTATGTTAATATTATTTGAGTAATAACTTTGACATTTGACTAATAAATTTGAGAAACTAAAATTTCGCACAAATTATTAAAACCTAATTAAACTTAATTTTTCATAGAAAGCCAAAGTAACTGTCTACAAGATTGACAATACCTATACATTATTTATAAAATAATGGCTATTCTAACAATTTTGTAATTATAAAATTTTTTATAATTTTTTTCTGAAAAAATCAATCATTTTATATTAAAATTTATATTTATTTACTATTATGTCACAAAAATTAATTAATTATAAGAAGTTATTAATATTCTATGCTCATATCTCTATAAAGAATATATATAATTAATCTTTCTTTACAAAGTAAATTTTAGCTACTGACTTATACGTACATGTTTCATAATACATTCATTACCTTAGAACATTTTTGTTAGGCCTTAAATTTTTCCTAATAAAAATATCTATCCAGTTCTCAGGGCATTACTTCTTACACATTTTAAAATGTATTGTTTTTATTTCTATTGCGAGGCTCAAATCAGAAAATATGATTGCACTAAAATGTAATTGTAATTCTTGTTACTTTGGATGCTTATATTTACAAAAAAAATTTAATAATTTAATTTTACACACAAAAAAAATATATTTTTTTGTTGAATTGAAATATGCTAATGACATATT